TCATATAGACAAAAACTGTAAACAACCTAAATATCTGACTGGATCCTACAGTCAGAACCAAGAGGCCCAGTTCGCCAGCAGCCTCTTTGGTGGTATTTTTTTTAATTCATTTTACCCAGGGTATCATGACACTGGGTAGTGTATAGCCAGAGCCCATTGAGTTAATGTCCAGCGTTTAGTCACTCCTCTGATTAACAGGCACAGAGTCAGGAGTGGCTCCAGGGTCAGCTGCTTCTGTGTCTTTAAGACAGCACCTCTCTCACACAGTTTGGTACATGATTTTCATGAAGCAGAGCTGCCTCCCTCTAGATTGCTCTGTAGGAACCTCAGAAGTCTTTCCGCTGACCCCTCCCTGGGAGAGACCAGCTCTGCTCACTCTCCTTCCTCTGCAGAGGCTTGACGTTCTGTCATTAGCCGAGGGCCCTCGCCCGCTCCATACCAGGGCTTGTGATGGCATCCTTGTCACGGTCGCTGCCATCACATACCTGCCTGGAAGTACTAAACAGGCAATACCCAGCCGTACATTCTAATTGCTGTTGAACCACTTAAAAATGATTGCGTACAGGAACTGCATGAATTCCTTGACACTTTTTCCTAAAACTTTTTGGATGAAAAATGTCAGTGTCTGTTTTATGAGAATCTTTAGATGTATGGCCGAAAAGATTTACATTTTCCTTTTCTCAGTTTACTTTTGTCATCAGAAAAGTTATAAGATATCCTTATGAGTTTACTTTAGAAAAAATAAAGACAGGACCAGGCAGGCCAGAGGCTGGGGAAGAGACCCCGTCTCAGCCGGCTGCCGGAATCCGGCCTGCGTCAGCCTCATCTTCTGACCCGGCAGCCACAGTGTGGGGTTGCCCAGTCCCAATGGCTCCTGGGAAATGCCTAAGCAGTGAGTGCACAGGTTCCTCCTGTCAGGTTAAGCAAAACCAGCTTTTCCCCAAAGCTGTTGAGGATCTCTTGAGGTGTGTGTGAGGCTGATTTTAGGCCAAGACTTGGAGTTCTCAGAAAAATAAACATTTGACAGGAGCCAGAACGCAAGTACATTTTATCAGCTAATAAATGGGCATGTTCTTGGCAAGCCCACAGTGGGCAATTTGATTTTTATAAGGAGCTTTGAGTTTCCTCTTTTTGGATGCTTTGCCTCCTAAAATAGCCATAAAATATTCCTTAAAATCTCATTCCCACCAGTTTGAGTCCTGACTGCTGGATGTCTCTAACAACCAAAGACACTGTCCTCATTCGAGACTGCGTTGCTGGCATGGTTTCCCATTCCAGCTCAATTAGATGCTGAATTTCCTCAAGTGGGGCGTCTAATGATCCTTCTGAACAGACTGTTTATGCTGAATGAGGCCCTTCAGAGAGCTGGGCCTCCCTGCCTCTGCTGCTCTTTGCTGGTGCTCTCAGCTCACAGTTTTTGACTGAATGTGAGAATTTTATCCTCCCAGCAGGCAGAACATTGCAACTAAACTCTTCCTGCTCCCAAAGTGCTGGTGAACCGTCCCACTGCCTGCAAAAGCAAAGGGCTAAAGGGAAGGCCTGGCACATGGCACAACATGAGGAAACAACAGCCCCGAACCAATGCCCCCTAAGAGGGTCAGCATCTGTCTGTTGGTCCCTTTGCTCCCTGGACAGACAGCTGAACGTTTGGAATTGGCACAGTTACAAAGAGTGGCATCTTGCCAATGTAAGACCCCATGTTGTTAGGGCTTCTCCTTAAGACCAAATGGTGGGAATGGAAACTTTGAAAATTGACTTACTTTTAAGATACATTTTGGAATTAGGTTAAGTTTGGATAAGACTAACAGGGATCCAAAGAAACTGAGGCTCTGAAAGCAACAAAAGAACAAACAGAAGCTCATAGACACAGACAGCAGTGTGGTGGCTAACAGAGGAGGGGATGGGGCCAGGGAGGGGGTTAAATTATGGTGACGGAAGATTTGACTTCAGCTGGTGGGCACACAGTGTAATATACAGATAATGTATCCGAATTGTACATTTGAAACCTATATAATTTTATTAGCCAGTATCACCCCAATAAATTTAATTTAAAAAAACTGAGGCTGAAACCAGATAGGAATTTATTTATTTCTAATTTAATAACAATATTACAAGCTAACATTTACATAATGCTTATTTTGTGCCAGGCACTATTAGCATTTTTATTTATGAACTTACTTAATCCTTATAATATCCTCTGACACTGATAGGAAAGACCACCTTAACAGATAAGGAAGTAAGGCTCAGAAGGTGAAGTCGTTTGCCCAGAGCCACATAGACAGTGAGTGCGAGAGTCGGGGTTCGAGCTGTGCAGTCTGGCTCCAGAGTCCATGCTCAGAATCAGCATGCTACTCTGTCTGACAAAAGCCAAGGGTTGCCAGGACTGATAGGTGTTGTGTCCCCGTTGTTGTCAGGGGCCCAGGCCTTTCTTCCTTGTCACTCTGCTGCGTGTGACATGTCCGGCACGGTGCTCTGCGAGGGTAGGACGCCCACCCGTGGCGGGAAAGACCTTCACCTGCGTGGGCAGCACCGGTCCTCCTGTGGGCACGTGTGTGAGCAGTGGCAGTGGTCTGCCTGAGCCCTCCTGTGGCTTTCACTTTGTCTGACAGCGCTCTCCTGCAGAGGGCGGTCTGGGACGGTGAGCGTGAGCGTGAGCTGCTGAGAGCCTGTCCTGGAGAGTCCAGCGCAGCTCTCACTGCTGGAAGGAACAGTTTCCGGGGAGTGTCTGTGGCAGTGGCGGTTGGAGGCACCTGGGTACCTGTCCAGGGGAATGGACATGTAAAGTGGGAGGCACACATGGGCAGTGAAGCAGAGTGCGTGCAGCCACACGCCAGGCCTTAGGGATGAAACACAGAGCAAAGCAGGCAGGAGATTCTGAGCTGGTCTCAGAGCCCAGGACCACTTCACTAAATTAATAATGTATATATGGCCACTCCCCAAAATACTACAGAGTAAGTGTTAAGTTAGGGGAAATCCTTTCTTGGAAGGATTTTTTTTCTTAATATGATTTCTCAAATGGATCTTTATATATTATCTGAAGTCTTCCTTTCTACAAGCTTTCTTTATTCCTTATTTTTTTTATGATAAAAGGCAGGTGTAATCAATTGTTAGGTCTTTTTTTTTTTTTTTCCTAAAATAGTATCCATAATAATAAAAGCGTAATATGCTAATTAGACCGGACATCCTTCTGGATGAAGCCGGGACTGAAAGGGAAGCCTGGGTACTGGGTGTCAGAGGGAAGCTGGTGCCGGCAGCCAGGGAAGGAAAGCCTACTCTTGTACAAATTTTGTGCATTGGGCCTCTAGTGTATATATATATATATATATATATATATATATATATATATATATATTTTTTTTTTTTCCCCCTGACTATAAAAATTATGCTTATTATAGAAATCTGAAAAGTCTAATACTGCTTAATGAAACTAAAAAGTCTTTATTCCTCCCACCTGGGGAACATGTCCTGTAAACTTTGTGACGTATTTTGTCTTTCCACTGTGCTTTGTCAGCACATGTAAATATTATATGTGCAGTAAATGGTTGAGAGTATTCCTTACATAATGCTGTACCTTGCTTTTCCCCCTAACACAGTGACACACTTTCCCAAGTTATTACCAATTCATATTAAGCTACACCTAAAACTATATCATGCCTACGGTGTGCCAGGCCCTGCTGTTAGCATTTTATATGTATTAACCTATATTTACATGTGTCTGCACTTCTAGTTGGACTTCTAGGTTGTTTCCAGAGTCATAGCTTTTCTGATAAGACACTTCCCCTCCCCAAAGGGTTTCTACAGTCTTTAAAGTCCATTTAAAAATGCTGTTTATGGCCCAGCTGGTTCGCTCAGTGGTTGAGAGTTGACCCATGAGCCAGGAGGTCACAGTTCGATTCCCTGCTACAGCATATGCCTGGGTTGCAAGCTCCATCCCCAGTAGGAGGCGTGCAGGAGGCACCCGATCAATCATTATCTCTCATCATTGATGTTTCTGTCTCTCTCCCCCTCTCCCTTTCTCTTTGAAATCAATAAAAGCTTATATATTTTTTAATGCTGTTTATACAGGAGCAGAATCTGAGAGTTGTTACATGCTATCTTGAGGAGGTTCAGTCGTAGGTCTGGGTAATAATTCTCATAAGTGGAAGGGCTGGGTTCTGGGTAGTGTTGTCAGATGCCTGTGTCTCTGCAGATTCAGGGTTGCAGTGAATGTCCTCCTTTCAGACAGGGCTTGTGGGCCTGAGGAGAGAAGCCATCTTTGGCATAGAACTCAGGACCTCTTTCCCTTCCTTCCTCTCTAAAAACAATAAAAAGATATTTAAAAACAAAAACAAAAAACAATATAAAACTAAAGCCCAGCTGGCATGGCTCAGTGGTTGAGCATCAGCCTATGAACCAGGAGCTCATGGTTTGATTCCCGGTCAGGGCACATGCCCAGGTTGTGGGATCCGTCCCCAGTAGGGGGCATGCAGGAGGCACCCGATCAATGATTATCTTTCATCATTGATGTTTCTATCTCTTTCTCTTCTTCTTTCTCTCAGAAATCAATTAAAAAATATATTTTTAATTTATTTTAAAAATAAATAAATAAAACTGAACTATAGGGCTATCTGATCCCAGCTGCTCTCACTACATATGAGTGAACCACACAGCTCACTGAATTCTGAAATCAAGTAATTTTTCTAGATTATGTCCAGGGGGCTGGGTCCATAGCTTATTGAACATGAGGCCTGGAGTATCTTTTTCTAAAACCGAATGAACAAGTGCAGGAAAGAGAAAGCTCTGTGGGCCCAGTGGGCTGGTGGTAATGAGGTCCTTGTGGTAATGAGGTCCTCGGGAACTCTCCTGGCCTCGCCCACCTGACCGGCGGGCAGGCCCGCCCCTTGGCATCAGGTTCTCCTGGCTCTCCTGGCCCCGGGTCCTGTGGAAGATACTAGACTCTATCTTTCTCTCTCCATTTTTTAGAGAAGACCTCTGGACTCTCTCCACCTTTTGTTTTACAGAAGAGGATGTGGAGAACTTCGATGTGACCAATTTGTCTCAGGACGTGCTGCGCAGCATTGAAGCTGACAGCTTCTGGTGCATGAGCAAGCTGCTGGACGGCATCCAGGTGGGTGGGTCGGCCCTTGGGCGCCCCATCCCAGGGTCCCGCGGGCCTTTGGGTTCCTTCTGCTCTTTTACATCAGACAGCCCCCCACCCAGCACAGCGCCTCCTCTTTCGGTCCATCCATCTCTGCCTCTCGCATTAGCTTTACAGCCTTCAAAAGGCAGTACTGGCGTCCCCTGGAGTCTCAGGAAGTCTCTCTGTTGCGCTGGCTTTGTCGTCAGTGCACGCCCTTGCCTCCTGGGCCACGTTCGCCTCCGCAGAGCGGGGCTCTGTTAGGCTTCCACACCGCTGCTCTGTAGATCCCTCTGTTCTCCCAACCCGCACCGGCTTGGAAAACCGCTTGTGCCTTCGCGTGTGTTTCAGTGAACTCGAGGTGGTAGCACAGCTGTGTGAGGCCTGCTTATGCTGGCTCTGTGTCGTTGGCAGGATAACTACACCTTCGCACAACCAGGGATCCAGAAGAAGGTCAAGGCGCTGGAAGAGCTGGTGAGCCGGATTGATGGTAGGTTCAGAGGAGTCCTCTCGCAATAGCACAGCACGCGGCTGACACAGCACACAGCATGAGTCCCTCCTCAGCCCCTTCCCAGTGTGACCCTTTCCCACGTGCTCTGTGCTGCTGGCCCCCAGCACCTTCCGCATCTCAGCAGCAAGGCGAACCCTGCTGTTTGCTCAAATTATTTTTTCTCCTTCGTTCTCTGTCACTAAGTTCTGTCAGTTCTCCTTCACCCTCTCTGCTCCATTGCCCTAGCTCTGGGCCAGCCAGGCCTCCTCCAGACCTCTCCTCTTACACGCCTGTCGCACAGCTGCCTTCTGCGTAAGGGTTCTGGTCTCATCCTCTTCTGCTCTGGAACCGCCGGGGCTCTCCTGCTCTCAGCAGCAGCTCTGTAGGCTGACCTGCCCTCCAAGTGGTGACGGCGGGACTTTTGGCCCTGACACTGGGCCCTCAGGCCTGGCTACCCCCAGCAGGACCTTCCATAGCTCCCGAGACCTGTTTGGGTGGCTCTTCCTGAAGCAGAATGTTCTTGACTCTGGCTTGGAATCATGGAATGTGAGGACTAAAAGGCAATTCAGGGAGAGGTCAGAGTTGGGGTTCAGAAGCACACATAAAGCCTCACAGCGAGGCCTGTAGGTGAGACCCTCGGCACCAATCAAGCTGCAGAGCTTCTTATGATGTCACCAATTACACACCAGCTAACAGAGTGCGTTTACTGGTTTTCTGCTTCAGCTAAGCATTGCCCTTCCCCCAAATAGAAACTGGGTATCTGTCACTCTTCTTCCCAGGTTCCCAATTTGTTCCACTCCACCTTCTTTAAAAAAAAAAAAAAATGTTACTGATTTTTTATTTATCTGTTTATTATTTTTATATATCTTTACTGATCTCAGAGAGGAAGGGATAGAAACATAGAAACATCAATGATGAGAGAAAATCACTGATCAGCTGCCTGCTGCATATTCCATATTGGGGTTCGAGCCCAAAACCTGGTCATGTGCCCTTGACCAGAATCAAACCTGGGACCTTTTAGTCCACAGGTCAACGCTCTATCCACTGAGCCAAACTGGCTAGGGCTATTTATTGTTTTTTAAAGAGAGAGTGGAAAAGAGAGAGATAGAAACACTGATGAGAAAGAAACATTATCGATTGGCTGCCTCCTGCACTCCCCCTGCTGGGGATCAAGCCTGAAACCTGGGCATGCGCCCTGACCAGGAATTAAACCAGTGAGCTTTGGTGCTCAGTGTTCTCTTGGTGGGTTGATGCTCAGCCACTGAGCAACACTGGCTAGGCCTCAGCTTCCTTTTACGACAACATTTTGATCTTCCCCACTCGTGTTTATTTATAGTGGTTTCCTCTACGTCATGTGTGGATGCTTTTCCTCTTACCGCCCAGACCCAGCTGTTAGCCCCTCGGTGGGGCCTGCATGAGGGTCTCTCGCATCCGTCACCTGGATTCTGGTGCAGAGCGCATGCGCAGGGGTAGGGCACTGAGCCGGCTGACACGACAGAGGCCATGGTTTCTGCCACTGTCTGCCCAGCCTGTTTTTTTCTCCTCACACATACATGATAAATAAAGCTACAGTACATTAGGGTAATGGATGTTTTAGTGCATATATCTTTATTCTTTCAGTTATAGAAATAATATTACATAAATTTAAAATTCAGAAAAACACAAAATAAAAAGTAAAAACCTTCCGCCTTCCTTGAATTCTACCCACCAAAAATAACCATTTTTAATAGCTATTCCTTCAGAAATTAAGTATCACATGCCAGATGCTACTGTTGTCACTTTTATTTTCTCATTTTATCGTCTCGCAAACTTTCTGAGGTGTGGGTGATCATCCCCATTTTATAGGTTAGGAAACTGAGGAGGACAGTGGTATAAAAACATTCTATGACGTATTATTTGAAGGGCTGTCACAGAAAACAGGATCGGGATTGTTTTGGGGGTGTTCCAGAATACCACACAGACGCCCAAGGTGGGAGTTCGGGCGCTGGCTTCTGTGGAGTGTGTGGGAGCACTTCCCAGTGAATCACTAACTCCAGGGAGGGCTGCCTCTCTGACTGGCAGGGCCAGTGCCTGCCGCCTGCCGCCTGCCGCCTGTCAGGGAGGCTGAGGAGGAAATCCTCGCTGGCAGGAGGGGGCCCCGTTCCTTTCCATCCTGCCTCCTCCTCTGCTGAGTGATAAGGTCAAGCAGCCAAGTGAAGCGTGCGTGTCCTGGGGGGGAAGAAGGGCACCTCGGCTGTCACTGTGGGGTTTGACAGTGGTGCTCAGCTGCCTGTCCGAGCTGCTGTGTGTGAGACGTGGAACCAAACATAAAGGACAGTCGGATGCCAGCATGACGCTCGGCCTGGCTTCCCAGGGAGGGGTGAAAAGAAATGGAAATTGCCTTCTTGGCTCCTGGACTTTTCCAGGATCTGACCCCCAGGTTGTGCCCCGGGCCAATGACACTTCCTGTTTCAGAGCAGGTACACAATCACTTCAGGCGGTACGAGGTGGAATACCTACAGTTTGCCTTCCGTTGGATGAACAACCTGCTTATGCGGGAGCTTCCCCTTCGCTGCACCATCCGCCTGTGGGACACATACCAGGTACGAAGAGATCCCCTCCCCTCTGAGCCAGGCTATCCCAGCCCAGGGCCCGGGGTGGAGGGGAGCTGCTCAGGAGTCCCCACCTCTTCTCTGCTTCCGGGTCTGCCTGAGCCTCACAGGCAGGGCCTCTGTCAGTCTTTTCAGACCCCCGTTTGCCCAGCCACGAAAGGGGTGCTTTTGCTGCGTCCCCACCTGCAGGCGGACTGGACCCCAGAGGACTAGCACCAGCTCCTGTCAGAGCTGGGAGACCTAACTCTGTTCTTTGCCTTCCCAGTCTGAACCAGAGGGGTTCTCCCACTTCCATCTCTACGTGTGTGCAGCTTTCTTGATCAAGTGGAGGAAAGAGATCTTGGATGAGGAGGACTTCCAGGTGAGTGGACAGGCGCTCGGCCTGGGCGTCAGGTGGGAGCTCCCGGCAGTGGGGCTGGACAGGCAGAAGGTGCCCCGCAGGTGCCTGGCTGGGAGGGGCCCTGGGGAAGGTGCTCAGAAGAGGCTGCCTCTCCTAGTTGGCAGCAGTCATAGGGGCCCAGCACCCTTCAGCATGAAAGGGTCTTGGTGCCAGAAAGGCTTCTGCACACCTGCTGGGCAGGCCTAGGAGACCTCATTCAGCCCCGCCAGGCTTTTGTTCACTGCCTGCCACGTGCTAAGCACTGCTGAAGGCATAGGATACATTGGAAAGTAAAACAGACAGACATCTCTGTTCTGGTGGAGCTTGCATACTAGCTGGGAGAGACTTACAATAAACACAAGCAGAGTAAGTTAAAAAGAATGTTAGGGGGTGAAAAGATAAATGTTTCTAATGTAGGGCAGGATAAAGGCGTTATTAGGTAGTGGGGAAGGGATAGGTTGCAATTTCAAGTTAAGCTGTCAGGATAGGGTCACATTTGAGCAAAGGCTTGGGAAGGGGAGGGAGCCAGCCATATGATCATCTGGGAAGGAGTCTCCAGGCAGAAGAACAGCCAGTGCAAAGGCCTTCAGCAGTGCATGCCTGCAATTGCAGGAATTGGGGTAGTGGCGGCCTAGGGGCGGGGGGGCCTGGAGCACAGTGACCCAGGGAAGAGTCGGCAGAGGTGAGGCCAGGGAACTTACAAGGGCCCTCTCACAGAGGACTCTGCAGACTGTAGGACTGTGGCCTTTCTCTGCGTGGAAGGGGAGCCGTAAGAAGGTCTTGAGCAGACAAGGGACACGATCACTCAAGGGGTGCTCTGGCTTCTCTGTGACTGTGGGCGTGGGCAAGGATGGGGCAGACACCCAGGAGGCCTGCTGGTCCTCCAGGTGAGACATGGGGTGGTGTGTACCTGGATGGTGGCAGTGAAGGTGTGACAAGTGGCTAGAACTTGGACATATTTCTTTTCTTTTTTAAAATATATTGTTTTTTTACAGAGAGGAAGAGGAGGGATAGAGAGAATGAATCAGGCGTACAGTGTAGCAGAAAGGACGAGCGGTTTGACTGCACACTTTATGAGAGCGTGGCAGGGAGCAGGTTTTTGGAGGAAGAGCTGGAGCCCAGTTTTGGACATGTGGAATTTTAACTACTATTAAACTTCCAGATGGAGTTGTAGGATACACAGATCAATCCATGAGTCTGTACTAGACATGTATGTTTAGCAGCCTTCGGCTAGAAGGCCTGAAAGCCAGGATGGTGGACAGAGGAGGACGAGGACCAGGTCTTCCGCACACTCTCCTCACCAGGAGGCCAGGGGGTGGGTGGGCGGAGCAAAGGCGGGAGAGCGGATGGCCAGGGAGGGCCGCGGCCTGGAAGCCTTGGGAGAGGGCAGATGTGAGGTGCTGGGATGCTGGCAGCTGCTCCAGAGGCTTGGGACTGACGAGAGATTGCCAGGCTCTGAGGTCGGCAGAGAGGAAGGCCTGGAGGTTTTCATGGTCGCTACCTCTTGGGACAGTAGTGGGCTTTTGTTTTTCTGCTCTGTACATCTCTGAACAGAAGGTTATTTTTTCCAAATGGGCATCTAGTTCTTCCAAAAGCAGGGGAAGAAAGCTGGAGAGGGCTGAGTGCTTTTCTAAGGTCTAATTGCTAACGAGGTGTTGAGTTCTCAAGAGCAGAGCGCCGCCGTGCGCCCTGTGCAGGCGCTCTCATTGGTACCAGGTGCCGAAGTGCAGGGACCTGCCAGCAGGCAGATGGAAAGACAGGACCGACTTGCCCAAAAGGACTTCGGAAGAAAGAGGAAAGAGCAGCTTTTGTGAGCAGATGCCAGCTGTGGTGCCAAGGCTGCAGGCAGCCGATCAAGAGTCACGGCTCTCGCCAGCAGGCAGCGTATGTGGCGCCCGGGACAAATGAGCACAGGGGCTGCAGGGCCGTGCACTGGGTGAGCTCTCCATTCTGATAATGTGGTTGAAGTGGAGCCGGATATCGGGAGCTCAGGATCTAATTTAGTTATCTCGAGCCAGGCTCAGAGGGCCTTGTCACATGTGATAAAAGCACTTCTTAGATTAGCCCGGGAGGCAGCGGGGATTCCTGGAACGGCTGTTAGAGATTCACAGTATCGACAGAGCACAGGGTAATAGTCTATGACTTTGAAACTGTGTTAGACACAGAGATGTTCTTCCCTGGGTAGCCTATTCGATTATCTGATGGATTTGAGGTCTTTCTGCACCAACCCTCAGAATGACAATGGAGCTTTTGTCTACTGCTGTGTTCACACGCTGTTCTACTCGGAGAGGAGTCCCACCTCTTTCTTTTAGACCGAATAGAACGGGCGATGGAACTGGATAGTCCGCACAGTTCCTCCCAGCCCCGCAAGTCTATAATTCTGTGAACAATAAAAGAAAAAAGTGGGCCTGGCTGTGTTAGGATAGACAGGAGGTGTCCCTCAGGAGACAAGCGTGGCGCAGAGCACAGAGCACTGTGTCAGTGAGACCTGGCCCGTGGCCTCTGCAGAGAATAGGGCGCCTGTAGTTGAGTCACTGCGGGGGATGCCCGCCGATGAACACAGGCATCCCGGAGAGCCAGTGGGCCCAGCCTGGGAGGGAAGCTTTAGGGCCCCAGCTGCAGTGACTCGAAAGGAAACCAGACGAAGTCACTGCAGAGGTAAAAGTTCAAGTTGTGGCGGTTTCAGCAGACCAGCCCTTTGTCACCCTCAGAGCAGGGAGGGAGCCGGTGGGAGGAGGGCCAGCACAGGGCGTCTAGGACAGCACTAAGCCACGGTCTGTGGAGCTGGTCTACTTAGGTCACATCCTAGCTCGGCCGCTTTTCCAGGTATGCAACCTTAAGAAGTAAATTGGTGTTCGATACCTCAGTTTTCTTACCTGTAAAGCGGGGATAGGAGTACCTGCCTCCTAGGGCCATTATGAGGATTATACAAAGTAATGCACATGATGTGGGCAGAATGGTGTGCTGTACAGATAGCCCTCCACACAGCGAGCTTACTGTCATTCTCACTGGTCCCTGCAGTGTTCTCCTGAGGCTGGAGCAGGGAGGCAGGACCGAGTTTAGCACCCAGGTCTGAGTGCTTTTTAACTTGCCTGAGTAAACAGGCTCTGCTAATCCTGGTGAACAAATGCGGCCGGAGAGGAGGTGCCAGAGGTGCAGGCGGAGTGGCTATGACCATGGGGAAGAGCAGGTGCCCGTCAGCATTGGCACATGTGCGAGATCCTCTATTTGACTCGCTCCATCGATGACGGGCCACTGACACTGGGAGGACTGAATGTAGTAGAGCAAGTCCATGTTCCAGCGAGCAAGGCGAGATCACAGCGGCCGAAGCCTTCACGCCCAACATCCTCACTGCAGCACGGCCACCGTGATCGGCCCGTCCATCAGGGTCCATCAGGGTCAAAATTCGGGATCTCTTCCCTGGTGTTTCAAGATGCACATTACCCAGGGACCCCTGCCTCCGAGCATGCAGTGAATAGGAGTGTACGGATAGGGGGCGGGTGGAGCTGCCCTCGAGAATGGCCACTTGTTGGAGGTCGTAAGTTAGTGTCTATTGGTCTGCTCCAGGGCTGGCTTTTAGTCCCCAGCCCCACCCAGGACTCATCACCTTGTTTTCTTGGATCAGTGATGATAAGAAACTACCCCTTTGTATTTTTTAAGATTTGTACAGAATAGAGTAACCTCCAGGTAGCCTAGAAACGACTTGGCTATAACACTGTATCCACGGATCACCCTGCAGTCTAAAAAGCCATCTCAGGACAGTGTGTGTGAGAGCCTGAAGAGCGGGATGCCCCACAGAGATGTCAGGGCAGGTGTCTCAGCACTGATTTCAAGGGGACTCCAAGGGCCAATCATCAAAATCCCTCCAACGCTGTAAAACGGGAACTGGCAAGGAAGTCACCTTGGCCTAGCTGATGATTCTAAACCAAAGTAGCAGCTGGCCTCAGAATCCGGTCCTTTCATCTTATGGAAAACCTTGGAGAGATTCCCATTCTGAAAATGTCTTTTGCAGGACATAGGTCAGAGCTGTTAAATGGAACAGCGCTAAGCCCATGGGATGTTTCAGGCCTAAATGACAACTAAATGTGAATAAATCCCTTGAGCCAGATGGCATCCACCCATCTTCTGCCGGAACTTCTGTTTGGGATCGTGGCATGCTGCCCAAACAGATATCCAGTAAACTGCCTGTTTGAGTCCGGCCCAGAAGAAGGTTCAGAGAGAGCCCTGGCTGGTGTGAGAAAGGAGGTCACAGAATAAGCCCTTGCCGGGGACTCCGCAGCTTCCTCTGAGGGGAAACCTGCCAAATGCACTGCTAGGCTCTCCGATGTTGGGGAAACCAGTGAATAAGATTGGCTCTCACAAAGTTTGCGTAAAGGACCCGTTTTTGAAAATTGAAACCAGGGTAATTGTTTTGCTACCTCACTGGTTTTCAAAACAGGAAGGATTTGTTTTAAAGTGCTTATTTGACTAAGAAAGTATACTTACACGCCTGAATACATTTACAGCTGCTAAGTATGTTTCAGTATTGCTAAGTGATTCTTAACGCAGTATCTTATTTAATAGTATATATTTTATGTGGCCTTAAGGTCTTTTGCTGTCAATTATCATGCATCCTATCTTTGGTGGTGCATGGCTTTTACTCTGAGTAAAATTAATCAACTATTCAAATTTCTTTCAAGCAGCCTCTGCTGTGACTTCTTTTCTTTTTGTTCTTCCACATTATGCCCCAGTTCCCTCTGCAAAGCAAGTAGTTTGTAGAATAGTGGTTATGAGCACAAGTTCTCACTCACAGATGACCTGGGCTCAGATCCCAGCCCAGGGTTACTCTGACCGTGGGCAAGTTCCTTAACCTCTGTGCCTCAATTTCCTCATCTGTAAGAGGGACCTAATTTGTATCTCAGAGTGTATGTGACGCTGAAATAAGTTAATACAGAGTACATGTGAAGCATCCACGGCTCTGCCTGGTATATAGTAAGTGCGTG